CAGACACCAAGCAGACACGCGATAAGGGCGAAACACGGCGCTCCCGCGGCCCYAGCCGCTCCAAGGCCCCAGCGAGCATACCGCATGCGGGCGCCGCCACAGCTCCCRCAGAACCGGGAGCCGTGCGCGCCGCTGCCCTCCCGGCCGCGGCGACAGCGCTGAGGAGAGCGGGAGCTACGCGGCGAAACCTCCCTGCGCCGGCCGGGTCCTCGGTACTACGRCGGCGGCAACAGTCGGCGCGAGCGGAAAGACGAAGCCCTGCCAGCACCACACAGGCCTGTCCGGCGGCGACACCTCCAACAGCGCTTGCGCAGCCACGTTTAAAACCAACGGCCGCTCCCGGGCTGCCGCTGACCGTTTAACAGCCACTCAGCCACGCATGCGCAGAGCGCGGCGCGAGCCACGTTTAAAAGGGCTGGMAGGGGGCGGGGCGCGGCGCGCGCGCAGGTGCTCGTGTGCAGTAGACACGTAGCGCGGTGGTAGCGTGAAGGAAGACGAGCAGCCGCCCCGCGAGCGGCGGCCCCGCGCCGGTCTCCGCTGACGGAGCACACGGGCGCCGAGCCGCGAGAACGCAGTGGTAGCCACCGCCGGTGGCGACCAATGCACCACGCGCACATGGCGGCCCCGCCCCCGTGGCTGCGTCACTCGGATGTGACGTCACCAGCCGCCGCGCTCCCGCCCGGCGGTGCCGCTCTCGCTCTATCTCCGCCTCAACGTGCGCGCGTCTCTATGGTGCGCCGCCCTTCCCGCCGCTCTCTATGGTGCGCCGCGCGGCCCCGCCCTGCGGGGGCGGCGGCCATCTTGGCCGGGCGGCGGGAGCACGTTGCGCGCCGGCCCGTGCAGGAGGCGACGCGGGTCCCCGCTCCGGCCCGGCCCGGCAGCGCCCCCTCCCCGCCCCTCCCCGTTCCCTCCCGGTAAGCGGCCTCCCGAGAGAGCGGCGGCGGCCCCGCGTGGGGAGGCGGGAGGCCGGGGGGGCGGCGGGCCCGGCCTGCGGCTTCCTGAGCGCGCAGCGGGGCCGCCGGCGGAAACGGCTGGCGCGGAAGGGGCTTCTCGAAGAGCCCGCAGGCCCCTGGTGCCCTCCCGGGGCGGGAGCCCCTGTCCTGGCCCCGCGGGAATCGCCCCGCGCGGGAGTTGATGGCGCGGAGCCGCGCGCCTTMCCCTAGCAGCGGTCTTGTCGGGGGGCCGCCTCTTCGCTGTGCAGCAGCCCCGTGGAGACGGTGACGGGCCGGGCGGGGGGCATCGCTCTGCGTCCGAGCTGGGCCCYGAGGTGGCTCGCAGGTGTGGGGAGCCCTGCGTGTGCGGAGCAGGCTGGCGAGGCCCGGCCGCGCCCGGGGGAAAACCCGCTAAAAATGAGGAATGTCTCTGCTAGAGGTTTTTTTTTTAAAAAAAAAAAAGTAACAGCAACAATGAAAAGGCCTTGTTTTGCAGTGTTTTGAGAAAATAAAGAATTAAAATCCGTGGTGAAGCACATTTCACAAGGTAATAGGCAAGGCTGTCTTTTAACAAAATGCCTAAAAATACAGAAAAGGATTTTCTCTAGAGCTTTGATAGCACTTCTTTGAATGCACTTACTGCTTCATGTGTAAATTTCTGTGATGATTTTCAGGTTCAAATTTAAGCTTCTATATTGTCTTTTTTTAAATTGCTGTCTGTAAGAAGTGATYCTTAAATAGCAATATTCACATGGTAGGTGGTGTTGCTAGTTTATAAGCCTATTGTTGTGCGTTTCACTTAATGTTAAAGGAAAATAATGCTGTTCAACACCAGTTAAACATACCATGTCCGCATGCTTCACCATATGGTTTCACTGTTAACATTGGTTTTCTTTTATGTTAATGTTGTGTCATATAAGCGAAATATTGAGATAAATACAGTAATGTTAGAGAGATTTGGTACTGATTTAAACTTCTCTTTGTACAACCTTATGTTTGTACAACATTATCTTTGTCTCCAAATGTCAATGCTCTAGTAGATTAGTCCTAATTCTTAGTAGGCCCTGTTTGTGCATTTGACATTTGCAATTATTTTTGCTCTGGCCTTTGTAAAAATCCTATATAATAATAAGACTTTTTTTTATCACATCTTTCATTTAAGTTTTCATTGCATGTTTATTCTGTAGCTTTCTTGTATTTGTGGTGGTATAACTGGTTATAGTTCTTTTAAAGATGGATTGAGAGGTGATTCTGAAGGCTGATGATTTTCAGAGAAAAGTGAAAATGCTATTTGTCCTCACTCTTTTCTTCCACTATGAATCATCTAAACCTGATGCAATTTTTTGGAATTTTTCCTTTTTTTTTYCTTTTTCTTTTCCCTCTCTCCAGATAACTAAAGTGTGGCTCATTTCTGAGGACACCTCTTCCATCTCCCCTCTCCTTTATAACTTTTAATTCATTGCCTGGTCTCTGGTTATTCTTCATTCTTCCTTGTCATTACTAATGTTTGCATGTTGTTCTGAATCAGCACTATTATGGCTTGTCTTCATGTCATAGTTGTGTTGATTCAGCAAATTGCATAGTGTTTGTGACTAACTCTTCATGTGTGGGGAAAAAAGAAAAGAAGAAATAAATATGACTGCTCCCTGATGCAAGAACTTTGCATTTCTTCCGCAAATTGCAGGTAACTGCTGACTCTTGTGGCAGTCTAGTTACATGCTTTATTTTGGTAGCAGTTGTTCTTCCTCACATTCTCTTACCTCTGTCACCACTTCATCGTCCTGGAGAGATTTCTTGCTATCTTTCTAGCAGAATTCATTAAATTAGCATATGACTTCATAGTTAGTAAGAAAATAAAATTACTGCTTTTTTTTTTTTTTTTTTCTTTTTCCTTCGTGGTATGGAACATAGAAATTTGGAACTGTGTTTAAACACTTTGAATACCAGTTCCTCCTGCCTTCAAACTGCTGACTCTAGCTAACAATTACTGGCGTGCTTTATTGTAGTATATACATATTGTATGTGTTGCTGACCTATATTCAGTGCTTTGAGAGTGCTGCTGTCTGCACGGTGAGACGAAACAGTCCTATTCACTATGTTAAATGCCACTGAAAAAACTGAATATAAATATGTAACTTCAGTTCAGCCTGATTTTGGATAATGACTTTTTTAATTTGCTTGAAGATGTAGAATCTCCCCCCCACCCCCGGATTTTTYCTTTTGAGGAAAGGGCTGTATTTCTTGTGGACAGTTATTATCCTAGATGTTAGCATAGTCCTGAAATAATTTCAGAAGCCATAGAAGACGCAAAATATTATTTTGATGAATAAAATATTATATGTATATATACAGTATATAATGAAAATAATTAAACTGACACTTTCATCATGTAGGTGATATCAAGGATGCATGAGTGAATATACTAGTTCACTCATTCTATATCCTTTTTTTTTCCCCTCCTCTATAAAGTACTCTAAAAATGCTTAGCATGCTTAACATCTGTGACTTGTGGACCCTTCAAAAATCATTGCTATAGATAAGCATTTTCCCATAGAGATAAATTTTTCCATATAGAATGTAAAAATTTCTAAGCTGTAGTATTATTTACTAAGAAAGGTCTGATTCAGCAACAGTTAATAGTTTAAACCTTCATCTGCTTTTCCCACCAAGACTGATTAGAAAGCTCGATGAAGTAGGTAGAAAAGCTTATTTGATTTAGGCTATGCTTGACTTTGCCTTTTAGCAACCCAACCACCTTTCCAGCCTTCCAACACGCTGGAAGGTGAGGTGGCTGAGGACTGAGTTTATGCCCTGATCTGCTAGCTATTTTGCTTGGGAACCGATCCACAGCACAAGTTTGGGAGGTTGGGCAGGGAAGGTGGCTCCTAAAATGTTTTAAGTCTGTCTACTGGAGCTTCCTCCTGTGAATCCTAGAGATGAGTCTTGATGCTAACAAGGAGCTGCRATGACTAGCAGGAAAAGCCCTGCCCAGCACACAGGCTGGTTTGTGTACTGTCTGGCTGCTCCACTCACAAGCTTTCYTGGAGTTTTCCCCACATTAGGCACTCTTCGGAGAACTAAAATAGAAATACATTGTCCAGTGGAAACATTTCTTTTTTTGAATAAAGACCTAGCACAGATTGGAGTATTTCAAGACTTCTTGACTTGTTATGCCCTTGAATTGGTGGTATTTATTGCATTGAATTAAAATTATTTCAACTTGGCATCCTCAGCTGCCATCAGATGGCTGCCATTATTTTCTTTAGTAGTGTTTAGCTGAAAGTAGAGATGGTTTGTGCAGGGTAGTAGTCTGTCTTTAGATAGTTAAAAAAAAAAAAAAAATCTGGTTGTCACCTGTCCCAAACATAAAGTTTGTGAACTTCTGATTAGCCTCATAATTCAATTATTTTCTGTATTCAGGATCAGGAAAAAAATGAAGGTGTTTTCCTGAGAGGTGAATTGCTTTTATGAAGGTAAAATAATTGCTATTATTTTCAGTACTCTATGGGAATACATTTAAGATCAAAAAAAAAAAAAAAAAAGTACTAGTACACTTTAAAAGGAAAATCAATTTTATCTGTCAAGACTTAAAAGTCTTTGTTGTACTCCCCTCCCCTGCTACAGACTTCAGAAACTAATGGCTAAGGAAGGCAACGGGCAGTTGTGTAGAGGAATGCAAGTTGGTCTTAATTTCAGTTTTTCTTTGTAATTTTAGTAATTCAAGTGCTACCTCTTCTAAAAATAGTCTGTTTAGAAAGCATATTGTTTATTTTTATTGGAAGTTATTATAGTCACTGATACTGCATTAGGAAATGCAGAATTTAAGCATGGTTGTTCAAATACAAATGAAGCTTTTGTCTCTCAGATGTCTTCATGGCATGTCTGTTGTTCCCATTTACTGGGTTATTTTTCTGTATGCTGGTACAAATATTCATTTTGAAGACTGGTTTGGATCATACGTGTCTGAACTGTGATAGTAGTAACTTCAGATGAGGATGGCCTTCTCTGTGCTGCCAGTAATCACAGTGTTCTCTTTCTGCTTTTTGTTTGTTTGTTTTCTTTTTAAAGACCTGGAAGTCTCCAATTCCTCCTGCTTGTAATCTGAGTGGTCTATGTGTTTAAGCTGTACATTATGGCAGACAAACTAACAAGAATTGCTATTGTTAACCATGACAAGTGTAAGCCAAAGAAATGTCGTCAAGAATGCAAAAAGAGTTGTCCTGTGGTTCGAATGGGTAAGAGAAGTAATTTTAAAAACCATTTAAATAATTGGAGAAATTTTAAGTAATATCCTGTTCCTATTAGAAGGAGCTAGCAGAGTGATTTTTATTTGGGGTGGGTTTTTTTTTTTTGGGGGGGTGGCGGGGGAGGAAGGAAGGGTGTTTTCTTTTTAGTAATGTTATAAGTCTTTGCTTTCTGAAGCTTTTATAAGTTGAGTATCACTGCAAGCAAAAATTATTTATAAAAATAATGTCAGGTCTTTAGATGATCTGAGGCTTCGTAAGAGTTACTTAATGTGCAATTATCTGTGGAATTCAACAGTACCATTAAAAAATCTGGTTAATCATAAACTTTCTGGAGTTAATTTTACCCTTTTTTTTCATTAGGGAAACTTTGCATAGAAGTCACATCACAGAGCAAAATAGCTTGGATCTCAGAAACACTTTGTATTGGTTGTGGTATTTGCATCAAGGTAAAAGCTGGGCTGGTTTATTTAAAATGATAAAACTTCATTATGCTGTTCTCTTTACTAAGGCATGCTACAACTGCATAAAACTGTTTTGTTTCACTAAGCAATCGGGTCTTTTTAACAGTTACTGTTTGCTTAAAGCAAAGCACTGAATCATATTACTGAGCTGTCAGATTGGGAAGGGCATTTGCTTTTGTGGCAAAGAAAAGCATTGGAAAAACTATTGTACTGGAGCAATAGTACATATGTTGTGTTCCTTATTTGTATCATAGACTGACTAGAGAAATTACTAATTTTAATTTGGAAAACGTGATGCAGAACTGTTTTGGAAAAAGTAGACTATATAAATAAAGTGAAACTTATTTATGATGAATTTTCTTTTAAAATATTTTATTCATATATTCTCTGCTAAACATAGCACATATGATAATTTGTTAAAAATTGTGTGCACCAATAGTATGTAATCCTTTATTACAGAAATGCCCTTTTGGAGCCCTGTCGATTGTTAATTTACCAAGCAACCTGGAGAAAGAAACAACACATAGATACTGTGCTAATGCCTTCAAACTTCACAGGTATCTCTTTTTCCAAATTAATRTAGAAGACACATAAATTCCATTTTTTTGATTATTTGAATTAGAAACCCACATCACACAGTTTTTGGTTACCATCTCAGTTTATGAATGGTGATTATTCTGTTTCTGTAATTAAAAAGCATTATAGTGTATTGAAATTTTAGAGGTCATTTCACAGAAATATTGTTGAACGGATGATTCTTAAATCTTATTTCCAATCTTCTAGCTTTTAGGAATATTGATTCGATTCAAAGACTGTATTGGCAGATTAATAAAATAAGATGAAACATCAGCACGTTTGAAAGCAGGTTGTAACATTTACATTTCCATCAAATGTTGATGTCTAATTAAATTAATATTACACAAATTATCGATGTTATGTACAGGTTGCCTATCCCTCGTCCAGGTGAAGTACTGGGATTGGTCGGAACCAATGGTATTGGAAAATCAACTGCCTTGAAAATTCTAGCGGGAAAACAGAAGCCAAATCTTGGAAAATATGATGTACGTACTGTCAGTAAAATAGTCAGCATTGTAGGTAGCTCTAGTTTTCTTAATATTTTCCAATATGATTTCACTCTAGAATTTTCAAAACTGTGAAAGTGATGGAATTTGCAAGGATGCTGGCACTTTACCTGTTAACTGTCAGTGGTCTGCTCAGTCCAGGAATAGTAGGAAAAAGGTGTTCATTAAAAGACTTTTTAAAAAACTTAGTATGTCATTCAAGCAAGAAAAGGTTTACAAAGAAAATCATTATTATAACACACAGAAGATGAGTATCAGAAGTGTATTTTTCTCTTTTAAATCATTAGTCTATTAGTCTTTTTTTAATTTTATTTTTCCAAAAAGAACAATTGCAGGAACAATTCCTGCAAAACAATTGCAGGAAAAAACTCTCAAAGTTTTTTCATATTTTCTTTACCTTGAAGAATGATATTTTAATAACTTATTTTGTGCCTGCCATTTAAAGCTGCAGAAAAAATAATATTCATTTACTTTTCCATTATTATTAAAGTGTGGTTTACATTATTTTGTGGACTTCTTGTTTCAGGTGGTAGTATTGCAGAAATAGCAAAACTTTTGACTCTTTGAATGTACTTAATTGAATTACCGTGCTTCCAAAATCAGACTTTCGTGTGAAGAACCAAATCATTATGACCACAGAAATACGTGGTATGAAATCAGTCTTCCGTGTTGCTTCTGCTCTAAAACTTGGGAAGCATTTCCTCTCTGTGTGGTTTGGAAATACAGCTGTGCCACTCTTGCTTCTGTGCTGTTTTACCATCAAACTAATTTAGCACTATACGACATCAAGTGCTGCATAAAATGACACTATAGAAGTTGTGTTTTTCCCTGGATGATTGCTCCTTGCTCTGAACGATTCTTTTTTTTTTTTTTTTTCTTTTTTAAGCAGAGAGGCCATTTTTTATCAATTAGTTGAATTAGTAGAGCTGGAAAGCTAATGTTGTGCAAATTCCAGTTTGTAAATAAATTCAGTTTCACTAATCTATACCGATTTATTCTTTTGTGGCATAGTTTGACTCTTTGAGTTCCTTCACTTCATCCCAAGGAAGCAGTTTGGCTGTCTGTGTGCAAATATATGACGTTCTTTTTCTTGAAATAACTAGTAACAATGCAGCTGAAAAAGAGTCTGAGCTTCTGCTCTCATTTTTCTTTTTTTTTTTTTTTTTTTTAAGGAAATTATTGCAGAGGAAACTATTGTGAACTAGGTACAAAGCTTTTATCCAGACTTTTTTGACCTTGCAGGCATAATGTATTTGATGTGTTGTTTGCAATTTTAAAATTAAAGAATATTGTAGAAATAAATGTAGGCTCTAATTTTGCCATAGGATCCACCTGACTGGCAAGAAATTTTGACTTATTTTCGAGGATCTGAATTACAAAACTATTTCACCAAGATTCTGGAAGATGACCTGAAAGCCATAATTAAACCTCAGTATGTGGACCAGATACCTAAAGCTGCAAAGGTGAGAAAAAAACTTTGGCAAACAGAAATTTGGAAGCTTCTCCTGTAGTACTTGTCAGTATGTAAAGATTTTATTTAGTAGTATAAGCTGGTGTGAAAAGTAAACTATCTAAAAATATTCTGTTTTCTGTTTATCATTCAGGGAACAGTGGGGTCGATTTTGGATAGAAAGGATGAAACAAAGACACAAACTGTGGTTTGTCAGCAGCTCGGTAGGTAGCTTTGTAAAAACCAACTCGAAAGGATTTGAGGAATTCATAATTACTGGAAAAAAATAAATATTGTCATTAATATAATGGTGGGTTTAATTTAAACTGAATTTAAAAAAAAAGTTAAAATATTTTGGTGTAAAGCCTAAAACTTACTGTAGGCATGTCTGAACCCATGCCCAAAATAGGTTATAGYGAAGTCAATTGATACAATCTACTTAATAGGAATAGAAATGAGTGCAGCCATAATTACACTGCAGGAAATGCTTATTTTTAAATCTAGAAAAAAATGCAGTTAGAGTCTGCTCTTGCTCACTTGCAGTTCTGGCAAAATCTTAGCATCTTCCATTGTGTAAAGAAAATATCTTGAGTATGAAAAGCCTGTTTTTTTCAAATGGCTTAAAATTATATCTTAGAAGAAAATCTGTATAGCTCAGTCCCATTGCATTTTTAAAGTGTTTTGAGACTTTGAGGGGCTAATAGATTCCAGTGCTAATGTAGATGCTGCTAAACTAAAAACAGGTTTTGCTTTGGTAAGGGAAGGGTTGTGTCCTTCTATCCAGAGTGTGGTYTGCAAACCCCACTCAGCTTCTTGACAAAATTGTCATTTTTTGATATTTGCTACTCATGAAGTTGGCAAGAAAATACTGGCTCTACCTGGTTGCTAAGATATTTGGGCTTAATTTTCTTAGTTTTCTATTCTTAGTTTTTCTGAAAATAAGAAATATTCTTTTCACGTGGTTTAAGAGTAAGCTTTTTAAAACTTGTATAGTTTCCTTTTAGGTCCAGAAGTGTTCACAAAATATATGCTGGAAAAACAAATAGGAGTGTAACTCTCCTRTGTGTTAGGAAAGGGCAATACAAATGAATCAGTTAATGTTATTGATAAAAGCCAAAGGAACTCATGTTTCYGTAGATAGTAAACAGTGAATTAGTGAACTGCTTTATCTGTTGGATAGAACAAAAATCTAATATTATTGTTATTATTTACAGATTTAACCCATCTGAAAGAAAGAAAYGTTGAGGACCTTTCAGGAGGAGAACTTCAGAGATTTGCTTGTGCAGTTGTGTGCATTCAGAAGGCTGATATGTAGGTTTTACTTCTATTACACCCTGCCTTTAATAGTTTTTCTGAGCTTTTTTTTCCCTCTTTTGATAAGAGGACCTGTTTGAAACAATACTTTTTGTTTGAAATGGATTTGTTTTTGATGTTTTCTGTTTTGACAGCTCAGCAGTGGGGATCTAGGTTTCTTCCATATATAGTCTTTTTTTCCCTCATACTGTCATAGAAAAGAATCATAGAATCCTTAAGGTTGGAAGGGACCTTGAGAGATCATCTAGTTCGCTGCACACACARGGTCATCTAGAGCATTTGTCTGGAAATGGCCAAGTTCGGAGGCCTGTGCTAAGTTATAGGATCACAGCTTCATAACCTTTCCCTAATCCCACCAGATCTTGTTTGACGGTGTGCTTCTCTTTCCTCTCTGAATAAGTAAAGGACAGAAAGGAGAGCCTTCCCTGCCTTTGGGAATTTGTAATGTCCTGGTCGTCTTAGCTTGTTTCCTGACACCTGGTCTTGAGTGCAAGAAAGCAAGATCAAAAGACTGATATTTTTCTGATTTTTTTTTTTTTTTTTTTTTTTTTTTTTTGGGGGGGGGGGGGGGGTGTCCTTATTCTAGCATCTTAAAATTTGTATTTTTGCACTTTTCAGTTCATGATAAATTTAAGCTGAATCAGAACTGAGTGCATGGGATTTCCTAACTGATTGCTGACTTCTCTAGCATTTGATAACTTTGTTAGAATTTTTAGCAAGGTAATACTTAACTTGGGCTCTTTAACAATTTCCTGTTATACCTACCAGAAATTCAAGGCAGGTGTCAGTAAGTAGTTCTGTCTTGCGTGTGTGCTCTCTCTCCCTCTCTCTGTCTCTCTCTCTMTATATATAAATGTTTATACAATTTTATTTCTGTGTACTTGGTGTTTGAAAGGTTAGTGTTTAAGGTCCTTTAGTTTGGCGTATGTTGAGCTTGTGCCTTCAGTGAAACGTTTTCCTTTCTTTTGGGCCTAGCTTCATGTTTGATGAACCTTCTAGCTACCTAGATGTCAAGCAGCGCTTGAAGGCTGCCATAACTATTCGATCCCTAATAAACCCTGACAGGTAAGTTATATAGATCTTTTTTGCTAGTATGTAATAATAGATGATGGTGATAGAGCAAAATACCTAGTTCTGTCTCCTGAAAGTGCTWTCTTCTTCCTGTGGTACAATAATAGATATTTAAAATACACAGACAATATTCTCTTGACCTGCAGTTTGGAAACTAGTGCCTAATTTAGCAATGGGGAAAACTTTGTAGTTRATATGAAATACAGGTGTTTATTTTTCACTAATAGTGTTGTTCTATCTGTTTCTCAGTTATTTTCTTAAAATATATCAAGCATTTTTTACTGTAGCCAGTCAAGCTCCTTACACTTAGTGTACATACAGAAACAGTTTAAATTGAGATGGACTTTTAACTGTCTTTACAAATGCTTCCTTATTGTACAGTTAACAAGCTTTTGTGTCAGAAATGAGCCCTGTTCTTACTTAATATAAAGAATGCATATTAAAATGCTTTAAAGTATGCAAGACTACAGTAAGAAAAAAATGTAATGAACTGTAAGAATATCTTTGTGTCTGTTTTTCAGGTACATTATTGTTGTAGAACACGATCTAAGTGTGTTGGATTATCTGTCTGACTTTATCTGCTGCCTGTACGGTGTGCCAAGTGCTTATGGTGTTGTTACCATGCCTTTCAGTGTAAGAGAAGGTAAGTGTTGCAACTGTTGCTTTTAACCCTGCAAAAAAACATTTCCTATGGAAGGCAAGGGGGAAGAGTGCTAAAATAGGGGGTTTTGTTATGTGAACATGTATTTTTCCTGCCATGTTACATTTGAGTAGTAAGTTGAAAAACTGTTTAATTTGTGCAGAATTTGTTTTCCATGATTCTGAATGTGTAACTGGGTCCTAAAGCCGTAGCTAAAATGCTGTTAGTGTAATACTTCAAGTGCAATTTGGATATTTGCAAATATTTTGTAGGAAACCCTAGGAATAGTAAAGAAGGGGCAGGAGGTTATTGCATAGCACTTATGTAGTATTCAGCTGAATTGATGACACTTAGAGATTATTGAGTTTTAGACACTGTTGAGACTTAGTAATAAATGACTTTTTTGTAAGACAGAAGCAGTTCCAACAGCAGTAGTTCCTTTAAATTCTACACACTGTACTGATTACAGGCTTTCAGCATAAGCTTCTACAGCTTATTTGTAAGATYGTTGTTCACTTAAATTGGTTTCCATGTTTTGAAATAAGAGGTTTTGTTGCCTGTTTTCACRTGCTATTTAAAACCCAGGTCTCCTTATCTGATGATAAATCTATCATGCTTTTTGTTTATGTAGCTGTTTAAAAAATAATAATAATTTTAAAAGATTTTGTTTTTTCCCTTCCTCTAAGGCATAAACATATTCTTAGATGGCTACGTTCCAACAGAAAATCTAAGGTTTCGAGATGCATCTTTGGTTTTTAAAGTGGCTGAGACAGCTAATGAAGAAGAGGTTAAGAAGATGTGCATGTACAAATATCCAGGAATGAAAAAAAAGATGGGAGAATTTGAACTGTCCATAGTGGCTGGAGAGTTCACTGATTCTGAAATCATGGTGATGTTGGGGGAAAATGGTAGGTGGAATTCCTGTTGTAAACTGCTGCTAAAGTCCCTTTTCAGTCTGCGAGCCAGGCCTCTGAATTAGTGGGTTTAAATGAAGCTCAGCTGCTTGTTCTCTAGGGAAGATATGAATGCCTTAAACTCATTCTCTAATTTGTAAGAGCTTGAATTTACTGAATGTTAATGATATCCTGGTAATTTTGTTACCCCATCTTAAGAACAGAGCTTAGCTATATGATCATCAAACTGGTGAGCCAGCAGCAAGTCTAAATTGTTGTGTATTTAAATGTCTCTTCCACTTGCTCTTGCTTTTTCAAGTGCTGTTTGCTTGAAGTGGATATAAGAGCTGTCAAAGGAATCTAAATTATAAGGATTTTTTCTGTTTTGCCCATGACTTGAGTGTCAGAGATCTGAGTCTAAAATAACATAACTTACATTTTTGTAGGAACTGGCAAAACTACATTTATCCGAATGCTTGCAGGAAGACTTACACCTGATGAAGGAGGTAGTGTTTAATATTTCAGTTTGAAATGTGTTTTGATGATATTGGAAAGGTTCTTGTCTTCATAAGAAATTTTATTTTTTTTATAGGTGAAGTCCCAGTTTTGAATGTCAGCTACAAGCCACAGAAGATCAGTCCTAAATCTACAGTATGTTTAAACCTTATTTATTAGCCTTATTAAGTTTTGTATGAGCAACAAAAAGCATGTTCTTAATACGCAGGTAGAATTTCTTTATGCTGTGAACAAAAAACTGTCTTCTTTCTTCTTGTGGCACGTTATATAAAACTCAGTGGTAGTATTTTTCTTTAACTAGGGAAGCGTACGTCAGCTGCTGCATGAAAAGATCAGAGATGCCTATACACACCCCCAGTTTGTAACTGATGTAATGAAACCTCTTCAGATAGAAAACATCATTGACCAAGAGGTATTAATTGCCTAAGATAACATCTTACCTTTTGCTCATTAGTTTCACGCCTGTCCCCCAATTAAATACAGATTACAATTGATCCTTCCCTAGGTTCAGACGCTGTCCGGGGGGGAGCTGCAGCGCGTCGCGCTGGCGCTCTGTCTTGGAAAGCCGGCAGACGTTTACCTCATCGATGAACCTTCGGCCTACTTGGACTCCGAACAGCGTCTGATGGCCGCGAGAGTCATTAAGCGGTAATTCACACACGAGGGGAAAACTACCTGAAATCTTCAGTAGTTTTACAGTGAACTTAAGCTCAGCGTTCTCTCCATATTGTTTCTGTTTCAGATTCATTCTACATGCTAAGAAAACAGCTTTTGTGGTAGAACATGACTTTATCATGGCCACTTATCTTGCTGATCGTGTGATTGTTTTTGATGGTATTCCTTCCAAGAACACACTTGCCAACAGGTAAGAACTTGCTTGCATTGGTAAACAAGATATGTAAGGACAACACGGAAATTGTTTATCTAAGCTTAAGCTGCAATTAAACAGAATTAAAAGTGACCTGAGAAAAGTGCTAAATTAAATGTAGATAGCCTGTGATCTTTACACTGTAAAAGCTTTCACTTCTGACTTCTGTTCCTGTAAATTCCAAGCAAATTAGAGACTTTTTGAAGAGCAGCTTAACAGAAACCAAATTCTCAAATGAATGTACTACCAACTACTTATATTTTCTAGATGCGATAAACACATCAGTTTTTGGTATGTGCTAGGTGGTTTGTGTTCTTAATCATTATCACTCAAGTGTTTCAGTATATTGTTATTTTTGTTACAGCTCACTAAGGATGCAACTCAGATTTGTAAAATAACTAATTGTGTGGCAGTGCACGCAAGTGTTTTGTATGTATAGAGAATGGTGAAGAGACATGCTGAAGCCTTGCTCAGATAGTGCTGAAAGATGATGGATAGAAGCAGATTGGGCTTCCTGTGTGAGATGTTATGGGACTGAATACATTTGTGCTACAGACCTGAATGAGCTCTGGCTGGAGATAAAAGCTGCCTGCCTAGCTATGTACATGTTCCTGTAGTTAGAAGTATAAAACTGTTGAAAATTCAGCAGGGAAATTCATGTACCCCTTCTGAAGTCATCTTCTCTCTTTAACAGTCCTCAGACCCTTTTGGCTGGAATGAATAAGTTTTTATCTCAACTTGAAATCACTTTTAGAAGAGACCCCAACAATTACAGACCAAGAATAAACAAGCTCAATTCAATCAAGGTAAGAAAACTTACAGTGCTAAAACAGTGACTGTTGAATATAAACACTGGTTTGAAAGTAAGGAACAAAATGAAAACTGAGCTGGTGGTCCTGCTGTGCTCAAGAAAAAATATGGGATAAAGAGCAGTAAAAATAAGGAAGGTAGAATGGAATTGAGATAAGTGCCTTTTATTTCAGCTTTCTGTGTTTAGTGTGCCAAAGACTATTTTAAGTAACACTGCCTTTTTTTTTTCCCCTCTTCCCAAGGATGTGGAACAAAAGAAGAGTGGAAACTACTTTTTCCTGGACGACTAAATACTGAATCTGAACGTCTCTGTAACTGGCTATTACAAATGCAAATTGAAGTCTGAACAGTCGTGGGTTAAAAGACTTGATCAGGTTTTAGGACACTTCAGCTTTTGGAGCTTAAACTCTCTTGCTGTGTGTAACACTGCAGGCCCCTAGCAGTGTTAATTCTATTCTGAGAAACTGCCATTTTTTAAATATGGTAACAGCCATATTCTCATTGTAATAATTCAAAATTGACAACCCTCAAATTGTGCAAAAGTTTCTCCAGATTTTTTGATTCAATACATTGTACTCATGCACCAAGTCATGACTGGAGTTAATAATTAAAACAAAAAACTTTGAAGCTGTTTCTTGTGTAAGATGAAGACTTGCACAGACTAACAAGAGGCAGAAACTAATCTTATTTTAAAAAAAGCTGAATCTCTCTAGATGAGGGTTTCATAAATAAATGGAAACACTCTTCTCTGATACAGTGCAAATATTGAACTACTACTTGTGTATATGTGTGTTTTTATGACCCTGACATGCAAAACACGCAAAAGGTGCAATAGAAACAATGCCCGTGACTTATACCTCTCTTCTCTGCCCCGGAGTTAGAGCAGAATACTCACTTGAATAAAATCTTAAAGAAAATACTTAAAATCATTTAAATATTTTGTAGCTGACCTCTGTTTTGAGTCTGCATAGCAAAGGATAGTAAAGAATGGTTCACTTTTTTTCTGCTCGCTTGTTTGAAGCGCTCTGTCATAGGAAGGTTTTGAGTAATTAAACCCTCTCTTCACAAGTTCTGACTCCTTGCCCATGAAGCCTTGCTCTCCTCTAAGATCATAGATACAGTTACTCAGAGCTGAAGCSAGCACTTACCTGATGTGCTGGTGAATTTGTAACAAAGTGCTTTTCTAAGCAGAGCTTTATCAAGGTGTAGAGATGATATAGCAGTAAATGGGTGAGCATAGGGTATAATTGAGAGTTAGGGGGGTTCCTCATGCTCTAAAACAGAATAAAGTTTCACCTTAGTATAAAGCAAAGCCTGCTTGTGCAGGGAGGGTTTTTAATAGCACTTCTAGGGATTTACAGAACCAAAGTGGATGTTTCAAAAGGAGGGAACAGTTTTTTGTTTCTATTGTACTGTTCATTGGATCATTTTTTGTATTTTAGCTTTTCCTCTAAGGCCCAATATCTAACCTATGAAAAATAGAGTGAGCTGCTTTAAATGCCATTATTACTGTATAGAGTTCATGGTAAAGCAGTAATGCTGCCTTAAACCACAGCAAGTGGCAGGAGCACCTGCCACTGAGTGGCAGGGACACTGCTGTTTCGGCCAGGGCTGCTGTGAGGGGCTGCAGTACTGCCTGCTCTCTAAGGGGGATGTGGAAGCCGAGCCCCTGCAGGGCACCTCCTTGGCCAGAGAGCCCACTACTCCAGGCACCTAAAGCCAAGAAGTCCTCCCACTTTTTTTTTTTTTTTTTTTTACTCCAGGCACCTAAAGCCAAGAAGTCCTCCCACTTTTTTTTTTTTTTTTTAAAGCTTGCTTCTTCCTCTCTGAGCTATTATGGCCATTAATAATTCAGATATTTTATAGTCCTTGTAGAGTCAGGCCTTATTTAACACTACTTGTCCATGACTGACAGCATAAATCCAGTTCTCTTCTGCTAACAAACTTAGTGCAGCATAATGATCATGAGCCTTGGGTCAGCAGCAAGACAGATACAGATCAGACTGGAGAGGCTTTTTTCTAAGAAAACGCCAGCTCCCTGAAAGTTTTTTCTGCTCCAGGTAGAGGAGAAGAAAGGCCCGGGCACCTGGGTTGTACATCTTTTGGTGATCAGCCCCAAATAGGGCAAGTTAAAAATTTGATTTAGCAAATAGCTGAAGCTCTACCCCTCACTTCAGTGCAATYTAAATATAATACATAGTGGGATTCGTATGTCTGAAACTTCTTGCAAAGAGAGAGGTTCTTTAGTCTGTCAACCAGAAAGTCCTTCAGCAAAAACAGAAAAATAATATCAACAGTGAAGGTGGGGAAAACAAATATTGGTGCTTTGAAGTCTCTTTGAACTCTCCTAGAGCAGCAAAGCTAAATGCACCATCTCCCCTCAAATRTTTTAACAAGTCATTTAAAAATCAACTGACACAGCCCTGCCAGCTACTGTCATGCCCCTGTTTACCATTACTTCTTGAGAAGGAGCTGTAGGCCCTGTCCTGCCCTTCTTTGTGCACAGCCCTCAGCAGTGAGTGCCTGCTCTCACACTGAATGCATTTCAGCAAGAGCTGAAATAGATAGACGGGCTATAAAAGGAGTTGCCATTCTTGGAAGGTTTTCACGTATAACAAGAAATCTCCCTAAGTAGTCACAGTGAATGTATATGTATGTACACACTATATATTATATACCCACACAGAGTAACTTTAGCCTTCAGTACACTTACACTAAGCAAGCCAAAAAGCTGCTGCTGCTGCTGCTGAAGTAGTCACAGTGAATGTATATGTATGTACACACTATATATTATATACCCACACAGAGTAACTTTAGCCTTCAGTACACTTACACTAAGCAAGCCAAAAAGCTGCTGCTGCTGCTGCTGCTGCACAGAGTCCACAGCAGAGCCATTACCACTTCAGCCAAGGGGCAGCTGGCCCCTCTGTTAACTGCTCTTAGTTCTGGGGGTGGCCACAAGCATTTGCAGCAGCAGAACACAACCACAGCAGTCCTGTCCTTGCAAGAATAGCTTCCARTGCATAAATACCACATAGGAAACAAAATGAAAGGACAAACATTTATTTTAATTAGGGGGTTATACACAGCATGCATCTGAAAAGTTTTTTTCCACATATAGCTATCACTCAAGTTTCCTGATCAAGGGTGTACAATCTCAGACATTAATAAAAGGGTACCATCACCTCTTACACTAGTATATACAGAGATATAAAAATATACACAACAGTTTATTTTACAGAGCATCAGAGCTGTGTGAATACTGCGCACACCACRCGTGGGGTTGGGGCAGCCCAACATCCCAACTGCAAAGGCAAGAGGATCACTGCAGAGATGGGTCTGGGGTCAGAAGAAACAGCAACCCAAAGTCTGACACAGTGTAAAAATATAAGGCAGAAGCCACTTTCTTCTGAAGTCTAGGGAAAAGCAGAGCACACTTGGAGCCTACACCCAGCTGGGTTTTAAAAAMGTAGTTCCAGCAGTGAGTTGTACATGCAAAACACAAATTTGCATCAACAGTGCAACAACAACAAAAAGAATACTGAACAGTAGCTCATCATACAAACTTAAAAAAGTAACATGTATTTTATGCATCTCTTCCTCACAAAACATCTAGGATTTGTCAGTGCATTAGTGTTAAAGTGGCATTAAAAAAAGTCTGCTATTATAACAGATTCAGAATTATTTTGGAAATGCATAGCATCTACATTTTTATTGTCTTTGTAATTAAGTTGGCATAGGCACCATTCTAGTCGCACCAGCATTAAGAATTCTTGGTGGAAACAGCCATTCCTATCAATTCGTACACAGCTATTCTTGACTGCTTGTCTTGATTTTGATTTCAACAAATAAATGCTTTTTAAAATTCAAAAATAGACCCTATGAATATTAAAAGAACTATATACAACATACCTAAGACACAAGGTTAGCTGGCTGCCATATGTGTAACACACGGAAGAGAAACATTCAAGTCTGACAGATTTTTGAGATGAAAGGCCTTTGGGTTGGAAGCATATCAAAGACAACAGTGCAGTAGGCTGAGAATTCCTTTAGCTCAGTTCAGAACTAAGGCATTGGATGATAAAATATACATTTATATTTGGTGCAATGTTACCATCTATTTCAGAATCCAGATCACAGCAAATGCTTTAATTTGTCACGCTAGGAAACACATTTAACCATCTTATAACACACACAAACCTTCATGAAAAAAAAATCAAAAACTAAACCTATATTAATGTTTTCTAATTTGACATCAAGAAAAAAAAAATACTAAGCCAAACAAATTTTGTAATCCCCAAGAGAAAAAAAAAAATAGGAGTTCATGTCCTCCAAGTCTTTGCTTACCAAAACTTAAGACCTTGGGCTTTATTATAAAGAAAAAGATTAAGATTTGAATCATCTACATCAAACGACTTTTTGCATTTAAAAATCTCAATTATCCATTCATCCTATGCTTGATGCCCCCTCTGATTATCTCCCAGTGTTGCCCTTCTCCTGTCATTCCTATACGGCCTCCCGCGGAAGTTTCGCTGGTACTGGTAGCCTTCATCTCTGCTTCTGCTGGGCGGCCCYTTCCAGGCTTCCTCATTCCTTTGGAACTGGTATCCTCCCCTACTGGAGTACCCCCACTCGAGCCTAGGCCTTCTGCCTCCTCCGTAAGTCTGGTTATAGAACTGCTTGGACCTGCCACTTTTCAGCATATCGGAAACTTCACTTTCATCTTCAGAGCTCTCCTCCCGTGTTCTCGGAGCCCTGCTTTCCATCTGTACATTGGCAGGACCCTTGGAGTCTCTAGCTTTATCAGCCTTCTCCTTACGACTGGGAACAGAGCTTCTCAGTTCGTTTTTCGGTGGCTCTGCCAACGGCGGTGCCRTGGGTTTGGGCATGGCTGCCTGCCTCTCACTCCCCTGTGCCTGCGGGGCGCGCTTCTGCAGCCCCGTTATTGCTTGTTTCGCGGAAGCAGCAGGAGTGCAGGCTGGCTCCACCTTGCCTGCCCTGGCCAGYGACTCCTTGGCGCTGCATTCGCTGCCGGCCGCGGGCAGCGGTGCCGCAGCGCAGCCGCTGCCCCCGTTGGGCTGCTCCACGCAGCTCCCTCCGGGAAGTGGCGGGCCGCACTCCTTCACCAAATAGCCGCTGGTGGAGCTGCCAGGCGTCGCCTCTTTCTCCTCGGGTGACAGGAGAACGTTAGGTCTTGCTGCTGAATTGTCAATAAAGCCCTGAACGGGGTAGCCATACCAGAAGTGAGGAAAGAAAGGAGGTGCTATTGGAACAGCTCCTATAAAGGGACTGTGTCCAAAGGGGGGTTGTGGGAAGATATTTTTCCCTCTCAGGGACTCATCATAGTTTGTGTGAAGAGCTTGCACTGGAGTCTCCGCTTCCACACAGATTTGTCCTCGACTTTCTGACACCTGAGCTGTAGATAGGATCAGAGGCAGTGATGGAGACCGACTGTCAGCCTGGGAACTTTGACCATTGGGTCTGGCCTCATTCTGAATAGCAAAGTGCCTGTTTGCTCTTGCGGTTTCATTTTCATTCGGAGTCGGCGGAGCCTCCTGGAACCAGAGGTTGTGCGGATACACGGGCAGGGAAACATTGGGGTACATTCGACAGGCAGCTAGATAGGCCTGATGCAGGGGGTACAAGTAAGAATGGGGTGCCCACATAGGACAGCTGTATGCCTGGAAGACAAAAAGAAAAGAGTGTTCATGTACATATAACAACACACAGCTTGTTTACCATTTTGGAGCAGTTAATGACAGAAATGAAAGTAGTTTTCTTCACAGTGCCCTCAGTTCCAAACAATTTCTGGGGTTTCAGGATCACATTCCCATTTTTTCTTCCCACCAAATACAGCAGGAATGGGCAACCATTACACCTAATAAACTTGATCACATAGCTCCTGTATAGTTAATTTAAAAACAGGATACTGTAAGCCACATTTTAGCTATATATTTAAGAAACATATTTCCAATTCACTTCAAAAAAAAGTCACAATTATTAATCTGCTCCACTAGCTCGCTTCTCAAAACTCCCCCCACACACACACCACCACTACAAAATCATACCGTTCACACATGCTCACCTCAAGAACAGACCTGCATAGACACCTGGAATGAGGCCATGTCCCAAGGTCAATCCTTAAGGATTAAAGCCTGTATTAGTTCACACAACCTACGAATTAGCCTGCTTAAAGCCTTTTAATAAAAGGTACAGGTTTGATCTCCACACGGGACAGGTTCCAGACAGTGGTGGGAGTCTCAACGTTTTTAGCTGCAGCTTTTTCTGAACCACAGATGAAAACGGGTGACACTAACACCCCTCAAGTCACCCACTTCAGGGGGTACCTCCCCCCTCAGCAGGCAAGGAGGCAATTACATCAACCAGCGTTAGGGCTTCCCAGCACAGGCTTTCCTGCACAGGGACAGCAATTGGCACAAGAGGGATATTTTTTTTTTTACAGTAGCCATAAGATGATTCTAATAGCATAACACCAAGGTGCATGTTTTAAAGGCGCACATAACAATGTGCAAGGCTGCTGAGGGCACAAGGAAAGAAAATATTGAAGAACTGGGCACAGGGAGTAAAGCTCAAAGCCTAGCACAGTCTTGTCTGCACTATCCACAGAGAAAAGTCCCTGAAGCAAACTACTGAACCAGACCTATTTGTCCTGAGAACTCCGGGGTTCACTCTGAACAGGCAGCTGGGAGGGTGTGGATAACAGAGCATGCAAGCAAAGCACAAGAATCCAAAACCTAGCTCCAGGTATACCTTGATTTTGTCACCAAACTACCAAAACTTGGGCATTTGACCAGTAGATGGTGCTGAAGCATTACAATGACAGACTAAAAGCTAAATAACACATCCCTAGATAGGCTTATGAAGCAAACACTGTTCAAACACATTGCAGTCAAACCTGTTGATGACTTATGGATTTTCTATTAAATAAATCAAAAAGACTTAAGTATACAAAGTTACCAAATTTAATTTTTCTTTGTATGTGGTGCTGAACACTTTCCTCCTTTCAAAACTCCCCTCCCTGTGCAAACACCACAGAAAACCATTACACTTTATAACCAAAGCATAAGGAAACATGCCTGGGAGCTTAACAATTTTTCCAAAGTGGTTTGCCTGAGAGAAGGGGTGAGAGGATGTGGGAAAAGGAACACTGTTACACACAGAAGCAACTGACCAGGCCCGCTAACAAAAATGGTATTAAGTGTTGCCTCTTTGGACAATTCCCTCCTCTCAAATTGCACCACATATATTTATCAACCACTATTTTAATTACTTAAAAAGTTAAAAGTAAGAGACTGCCTTTAGCCTGCATAGGCAGGCCAGACATGCAAGTAGCTTGGGGAAACCTCCACAGAGAAAGGTATGGAAAGGCCTGGGCCAGTACGTTCGTACGTACACACACACACACACACACACACACACACACACACACACACACGATGAAGCTAGAGGGGTTTTCCTCTTTCACTCCATACTGCTTCCAAAAAAAGCATCTTCAAACTTACACTCTTTTTTCTGTGAATTTCAAAAACAGAAACAACAATTTCTGTTGACTGCACATAACCTGCTGACTCCTAGATAGATCTGAACACCGTTGCCACACGTTTATTTCTGTCAACAACTTGAGCTAAGATGTGGACTAGTGTCAGGACTCCCCAATTCAACAGAAAACAACAGAAGCATTTCAGGCTTGAAGAGAAACTTGAAGCATACAGCTCCACCAAAGTTCTGTACTACATGCATATTTTATGTTACTATAAACACAGAAACATGAGTACATTTAGAAAGTTACCTTCACACCAAGATTGAAGAAAAATCTCAGAATATTCTTATCTGCAGAAGAAAACAAAAAAAAWCCATGAAGACCTATTATAGCATATTTCACCTGATACAAATATTAGTCCCTGCATAAAGTTCCACTCTAGTAAAGGAAAAAACACACAAACCCCACCACACTTGCATTTTAAGCTGCTGCTGCCTGCATATCTTTAGTTGCCCTTTCATCGCCATAAGAATATCTGCAACTCACCTGCAATCCAAATTTCACTTTAACCATTTATGGAACTGACCTCCCAGTTTCTGTCAGTAAGTGCCTGCCACCATGCAGTAGAGATTGAATGTCCTTAAACTTTTTTCATACACTTAGTAAACCAAAGCCCACATTTTTTACAGATCAGTAAGGAAATTGTTGAATATGCTTTCAACTTAATTACACTATTGTATAAGGGAACAGATTTTTGAAGAAAGTCTTATAAATTCACAATGTCTCAAGTTACAGTGGGATAAATCAGCAAGCATAAAAAATATTTGATCAGATTTCTAGGTGTAATCACTTAAAACTGCAATGTTAATGCACAACTAGAAGAGTGACATCGGTGTATCACTTCTTTCCCCTCCCACCACAAAGTTCTGGAAATGCAACAACTAGATCTTTTGAAACAGCCTAAACACAGTTGCCTTTATTTACATTTCAAGCAGACCTATTAAAAAAAAAATGGTGCAAGACACAAACCAGAGAGCTCCTCACCTTTAGGCAAGTCCTCCCCAGTATTGCACAGGGAGTAAGAGGGTGCAACAGCTCTTTCTCCCTTTTCACTAAGGGGAAATCCAGGGTATAGCGGATCCTGATAAGGATTCAGAGTCTGAAGCAAAGGTATTAAAGGCTGGTTAACCACTTGTATCGACACAGGAACTCCAGCAATTGGAGCAGATGTTACCTGAGCCTGGGATACAATAGAATCGGGTCCCGTTGCTGGGGCCGGCATCAATGAAGGAGCAGGTATTTGGGTTGGAATACCTAAGTGGGGGAAGAAAAAAAAGAAAAAGAGGGGAACCTTCAGTTATATGCAGCTTTAAACAAGAAAGCCTCAGTGGGAAAACAAGCTTCAAAAGGAAAAATAGAAGTATTCAAGGAGACAAAGGAGGCAACTTGAGTCAGGAAKTCAGACATCAGAAGATACAGCTAAATGCAGAGAATAGTACTCAGCAGGGATAAAAGTTGAACTTTGCAGAAATAATTAAATCTTTACCATGCTTTTTTTTTTTTTTTTAAATATGAAAGCGGAGGGGGAGGGAGGGAAGGGGAAAAGAGGAAGACAGAAGGGGGGGGGAGGAGAAAGAGAGAGAGAGAGAGAGAGAGAGAGAGAGAGAGAGAGAGAGAGAGAGTGTGTGTGTGTGTGTGTGTGTGTGTGTGTGTGTGTGTGTGTGTGGTTGAAGCTTTCATGTGCTTCTTTACAATTCTGGTTCACCTCTGAACCAAAGGCCACATTGCCTGGGCTACACACCTTCTGTCATCAATGCAGTTAACTCAGGTATGTCAACATGACTGCAGCAACTAGAGTGCCATGTGAACATGCTATGCTGACCCCAAGGCCAGGCCTTGTACAGAAAGATGAGAGGGATAAGATACAGTGCCTGACTTTATGAGCAATATTGAATCTAAGCCAATTCTACGTATCAGGGGACACACAGAACACAAAGTATTGCACTGGTTTTGCAAAAGTGAGCTGAGGATCAGACTCATTAGATACTTGGCCATTCATTTCCTCCACTTTCAGATAAGGAGTCGGGGGAATTATATGTATGGGCAATTAAAAAAGAATCTTGTAGGACTTTCACAAACTTAGAGCAATGACTCACTACATCCCTTTAAGTGGTTTGCCCTTAGGATGTGAAAATACTTGAAATTATGTCTCCTAGAGGCATTTTCAGTTTAGCAAGATGGTTAAAACCTGTATCGGGGTTAGCGATTTCTGAAGCACGTTAATGTTTCTTCAAACCTGGTGGTCCGTAGGTTGCTGGCTCACTTGGCCAAGCTGGCACGATGGCTGGTACAGAAGGCACTGTTGGAGGCAGATGCACCTCAGAATAGATTGGTGCAGGAGTCACACTAGGCAAGCAGTCAGTCAGTTTCTGTGAAAGCAAAAGGATCACAGGAAATTATTCTAAATCAGCCTGTTTGAGCCCTAAGGAGCCCAGCCTACACCAATAAAAGCTTGGCGACCCAGCATTACCCAGACTACCACCATCACAACAGTCAAATACCAACTAGCATCTGACAAGCTTTACACATAAGAGTTATATCAGGTGTGAAGAACTCTGCACTTAGCTCTACAGAGCTTGTACCACTCAAACTATTACAACAACCTCAGAGAATGCCAAGGGAGGGATGATAAAGAACTTAAAGTACTGTAACTTAAAAGAAAGATAAGAAATATTCCATCTCAGAATACAGAAGGATACAGTTGCTTTTCTATCACGGTTTGTCCTTTTACATTGGACACAACAGATTCTTAACTGTGAAGTGGGGCGTCTTGGTATTATCACCATAGTAATTACTACATAATTAAAACCAACCATTAATCACAGCCAAGTACGTGTTTTTAAGCCTCCCTTTTTTGAAGACTCCTGACTGAAAAAATTTGAAATTAAGCAAGTATTTCTTACTTGTTCAACAAGAATCGGAGAGTCTTTTTTCACTTGTTCCAAAGGAGAGGAAGCTTTCGGATGACTCTCATCTTGACTATTCTTCTAAAGTAAAGTTAGAAACAACAGACATGACTAGTCTAATAACAAAACTGTTTTTTTCCAAGACATGCAAGGATACTGAAACACACTACGATAGGCATGGGCTAAGCATTAGGTCTTTATTATACTAGTGTAATATTTTGCTTGTTGAAACRGCAGCAGACATAAAGAGCTAACAAGAGGCCATGAATCTTATTGAAGTTCAGAGATCATGGTCTGTTAGCATAGTAGCTATTGGTAAACCTCAAATCTTCTGTGGTCTTAAGGCACAGACTCTAAGTAACTGCAAATCTAGATTCATAAGTGCTCTTAGGACAGTCTAAATTTGAGAATTCAGATTGCATAGAAAGACCACAAGTATAGATTAAAGGGCCTGAGGAAAGCTGACAGCAATACAAGCCTCAAATCTTAGAATAATTTCACCAAAAGTTGTAAAGCAGCAGCAATCACAGCTCAAAGGCAGCTATTACTCTGCCAATCACATATCATAGAAGCAATAACATTAAAAAAAATAAAATGAAATTTTGTTCTCTAAGTTTACCTCAGATGAATTTGGCTCAGGCTTCTGACTTAGGTGGATCTGTCTGGAATTTGTCTCTGTAACACAAAGACGTATCCTAGTAAATGAACCATTACACCATTTATGACTATTACAATGTAAGCCAGTTAAAGTTTGTCTTTCCAGAAATTAAATCTCCAAAATAAGATTTACCTCAATATATTCAGAAAATACAAAATTCTTTTTCCTCCCCAGTAACAAAGGATGCCAAAACTACCAGTTATTAGGACAGTAACCTAAAGCAACAACTCTAATCAGGATTTTTAAAGAATTCCTGCAGATGTTTGAATGACAGTTGTTAACTGCTTTTGGGATGCCTGGGGGAAGCAAGAAATTCATATAGCCATGTTTGTTTTAAATGCATAACATTCATCCTATATCTGTCCTAGTGAACGAGAAATCAATTTTCATCAATTCGAGAAATCCAATTTGTAAATCAGAGTAAAAATGTTTCAGTTTCCACATGCAAGTACTAAGAAGTTTAAAGTCTTGTTTACTTTTGACTAAATAAGAGTAAGATCAGTTCAGAAGGCTTCCATGTTCCACAGATCAAGAAAGCTTTCAGACTGATATAAGCAGTTTAATATCTCGAGTACCTGCAAATATTGGGGAGGTATTTAAAAAAACCACAGACACAAATACACACACAGTCGTGGCATAACCTTTGTATGATAAAATTTGTACTTCCCCCCCCCCCCAAATTTTAAACTCGACTCAAATCTGGCAACCTCTGCTTGTCAGTCAATCAAATTCCCACCCAATTCATGTATTTAATAGGAGCTGTGTGTTTTTTAAAAATTAGTCCATAATACTTGGACTGCATTGTTAACTAAAACAATATTGATTATTAGAAACTATTCCCAATTCCCTAAGGATCTAATCGGGTCTCAAGATATTGAGGAAAACATAGGTTAAAAATCTAGGAATTAACTATTTCCAGAAGCAATGCAATCAAGAACATCACAAAAACTATAGGAAAACGAGTACATGCTATGCAAGCCAATAAAATGTCATAATGCTGTAGTAAAGACCTTTGTTTAGATAAATATTCTTTGCATTACCAACAAAGTTATTTTTCAGAGGTCTCAGAATCTGCTCCTTGGTGCCCATTACAGCACAGGTGCCATAAAAATACTACAGGAATGACTCTGCTTTTACTAAAGTGATAAGATGAAAAGGATTTAAAATGAACAGCTGCTGTGAGGAAGCCAAAGAGTTAGAATTTAGTCAGAAAGTAAAAATAAAAGATATAAATCAGCAGTTAAGATCAAATTCAGTGTTCAGATATAGCAAAGTTAACAGGACAAATGTAAATAAAATCAGTTGTATTTGGCAGGGTTTTACCAACTACCCGTCAGCTAACTGAAAACTACAAATTTTAACCATGACTCTCAGGTTCCACTTCTCACGAATGGGGAAAAACCTAGAGTCAAAGAACAACAACAACTACAAAGAGTTAGGGCTGGAGGGGCAGGTGAAAAAAAACAAAAAAAAATTATTCAAAGGCCATTTTACAGTAAAAAAGATGGGGGAGGTAAGGGTACCTTTTGAATACACATTCTCCTCTCCTTCCTGTAGCACTTTATGCTAACTCTTAATCCTGTCACACTGAGAACTTGAATTCACTTTTTCTCTCAACTGACCCGCCATAAGCACCTTTAGTACTCCTCTACTGGCCCCTTGCTCCAACTCAAGAGGATCCAATGTATAGCAACTCTGGTAGCACTGAATTTTGGCTTTTCATTTCTCATTTTCCCTACAAAAATCCCAAAAAGGTACCTGTTCCTTCAGGCACACTCAAAGCAGAAAGTTGCGCCCTTTTTTCCTCTCCCAAGCACACCCTGGAAAGAGACTACCTTGGGACTGCCTTAATTCAATACAATTACAACTCAATACTACCTTGGGATTGCCTTAATTCAATACAACGGGGTGTGTTTTTATTTTTAAACAATTTTTTTTTCTATTTTGCTGGCCAAGTAGATGCCTCATCTTGAATAAATTCAACAGATAATGATTAAAGACATAACTAAAATGTCCAAACAACACTCTTGTAAAAAAATTTATTTTTACATTACCTTTATTCTTCTGCTCTTCCCCTTCAGCAGTCCACTTGCTGTTTCTCCTTTCATTACTTGAGAACTTTTTCGGGTTGAAGTTATCTACAGTCTGTGTAGCAGCTTGACAAGCTGACTGATTCTAAAGTTGAGCAAAATAGAAATAAGAAGCCCAATGAAACTTTGCAATCATCTGATATGATGTTATACCTTTGTCTCATACATGTATTTCTCTCGTTTGTATGCAGAGGAAAAAACCTTAGTATCATTCAGATACATCCACTCTCATATGTTGCTTAATTCTTAGAAGCTTTCTTTAAAAGCATTCAATATTTTTACTTTACAAAAGAAAAGTTAAAGCGTAAGTTGTCTTAAAGTTTTGGTGGTTTTGTTTTTTTTTGGTTTTTTTTTTGTTTTTTTTTTTTTKTTTTTTTTTTTTTAAACTGCAGCCTCCTCCTGTGGGTCCATAGATACAACACAACCAGAGCCCAGAGGGAGAATGAAGTCTAAGGAAGGGAAGAAACAACCAAATAACTCCTTTTCACAACTCAAGACATTTAAGGCTCATCTTTTATCTCCTATTTTATCCTCAGTCTGGTTCTCTTTTCAGTTTGGCCAAGGATTTAAATGGAAAAAGCCCCAAGCATTTCCAAAGGAAACTTATGTGGGCCACAGCTGTTTTCCCCAGAGGATATCCTCTCTGGGCTTACAAAAACTTTCGTCTGCTTACTTTAAAAACACAAGCATCAACAGAATAATCCATCAAAACCTAAAGGTTAAATCCTCCCCTCAGATCAACAAGGCTACTGAAGTCAGCTAAGTTTCACACTAAAACAGAAGGAGCAAGTTTGAACACCCAAAAACTCGTTCTATATATCACCATGCAAATTCTGAAATCAATTAGTTTTCAGGCTAAAAAAAAAAGTGTCACTTATAGGCAAAGTGGGATTTCTCTGAACTAAATGGAAAACAAGAGTCATCCCTGATACTAATTCAAGCATCATGCTGCCATTTACTGAGCTATTTCCTAACTGAAAGCTGTGCTCCAGCACAAATTCTGCCTTCACCTTTAACTGATACTGTGACAAGAGGAAAAGGCAACATCTAAATTGATTCTCTTGTTTTGAAGAGTGCAGAGCTTTCCCAAGACATGAGCAACACAAAGGAAAAAAGCACACGGCTTCAGAAGCTCTATTTCTCTTCTTCCACATTTTGATGCCTAAAAAAATGTGCAAGGTGGACACCAACTACTTGCGAGTGAGACTACAAGTTTTGTCTTGCATTGAATGTATATAGTATTACAGATGCACATATTTCTGCACAGAATGACTTGTGAAGAGAATACTCTATCTTCGCAGTCGCACTATAACGTAAAAGCAGCAAAACCAAAGTTCTAAGTCTAATAATTGAAAAAGCATACATTAGAAAGGGCAGGAAAAGCTTGCTCATCTCTCTGCTGAATTTCATAAAGTGAACGAGATTCTTCTATGGCCTGTTTCTCCTTCCGTTCCTCTGGAGACAGGCCAAAATAGTTACAATCTCTGTTATTCTGGTTCAGATCTTCAGGTCTCTCACGATCTGGTTTTCTGTAAAGAAAGGAAGACCATATCACTCCATCAAGAAAATCCAATTACCACCTAGTATCAAGCAGACTCAGGATTAAGAAGGAAAGGAGGAGTAGTTACACAACATTGTTTCTGCAATTCTATATGCACTCATACGACTTCTTCACTACTCAAGTTATAAGAAAATGGGGAGAGGGGTGAAATTAATTCATGATTTATTCAATTTGATTCTATTTGGAAAGACCATAAAGCTAACTACAGGATCTAATGATCATGGTTAAAAATCAAATCCCCACACCAAGTGATTTAATCTGCTTCTGTACTGCACCACTCCCCTAATCTGCTATCCATTGCCACACAAAACCAACTTGATAAAGATTTCCATAACTGCAAGGAAAAATTCATTCAATGGCAGAAGCATTACTATGCAAAATGAACAAAACAGTCCATGTTTGAGCTTTAAGAACTGCTCAACTGAACTTATTTTTAGGATATTTATGCCTTCAGAGGGAGTGAGAGGAAACATTACAAAAGTGGCGACATCCTTTATTCTACTTGGAGTAATGGTGCAGAAAAGTGGTCAAACAAACCAGAAGCTTGTGTTTGCATTCTAGTAACAGAAAGAGGGTGGCAATAACAAGGACAATAAATGCATTTCAAAAGAGTATTTGGGAAGCACCTGAGATAGGTACCTGGGCTGCAATAAGGTTGGCTAGAGTCCGAGGTAAGGAAAACATTTGGGGGGGCTTACCTTACAGTTTGGGAAGGAATCCTGCTTGAAGATTTTTGATCAGTTGAGGTCTGATGAGATTGGGGTCCAGAAGATAAGAACTGATGCTGCCTGGTTCCCACAGTATGCTGAAGTCGAGGAGGTAGTGCTGACTGGGGTTTTACTGGCTTGCTCTGATTCTTTAGCCCTCTGCAATCTACATCTGCAGTATAGACATGAAATATATATATTTATATATATTTATATAGATTTATTATCTATATATTTATATAGATAATATATAGAAGAGTTATCGAGAGTCTCTTTTTTGTTCAAAAAACCCTCCAGGACAAAGCCTTTGACAGGAAGGATTCCATTACAGAAAGACAGGTTTGAAGAAGAAAAAAAAAGAAAATAGTAGTAGTCATACCAGGCTGAGCATTCTGCCCCCATGTTGGGAAAAACTTTTTTATTTTCTTCCCTGGCACAGTGTTCCAGCCCTCCATAGGAGAGGTTTGTGGAAGAGGTTTAAGGCTCTTCAGTGAGACAGCATGCCTACAAATCAACAGGGGTGGGGAAGGAAAGGGGAACTTTATTACCAGATCAAGGCTTGTATTAATTAATACTACATATGTATTAAAACAGATGGATCTTCATGATTGCACTCAAGCAATGAATAAAACAACAATAAAAAAAACAGATTTTTAAGTTATGGTCTGATAAAGCTATGAAAATGTAGCCTGCATTCCAAAGGACATAGATACTTTACAATAACAAATACATAAAAAAATGAAAGTGTGTTGGTTTTTTTTTGGTTTTTTTTTTTTTTTTTTTTGGTGGCAGGATAGCTCATCAGTTATTTCTGAAGTGAGTATTATAATGTCTTTAGGACAGACAACAGGAGAACAATCTTAGAAAAGTAATATACTTAATAGGCAACTTAACTACCATATACTGCAAATACTGCAATAGATGCCAGGGTTGAAAAACATTATACTGGTGTTTTAGAACATTTAGCAAAAACTGCAGTTTTACCTGAGAATACTCTTAGGAAGTCCAAGCAGCAGTTTACATGAATGCCATTCTTTCAAGTCATGTTTATAACAGACATTCCAAATCAAGTGCAACTCAAATTTCAAAGGGCAACAAAGTGCAAGGTAACTTTCTATTCTTACAAAATTTTCAGTTTTCTTACAAAATCATCTCTTCTTCCTTAGCCACCTTATTAAATATCAAATTCAACTGTCTTTCTGTTTTTTGAAAAAAAAAAATATATATATATATACACCCACACAAGGGAAAAAAAAGCAAGATACAAGAAAACTATGCTTACTTTTCTCCAAGCTCTTCTACAAATACAACAACTGGACCATTCTCTGAGCAAACTTCTTGAATATGGGCATTATAAAATTTTCCATTGTGGTCTAAGCGCACCTTAAAAATATTAAGGGCAAAAAGGATTAGGTTCAAAGAATAAACTAACAGAATATAACTCTTTACTCTTTGGGCAACATTAAAAACAAATGCTTTTACTAAATAGCAAGAGACCCTAGAAGAGATCCAAGAAACAAACATCACTAATTCAATAAATGTATCAAAAGCAAACTTTCAATCCTTATCATTTACTCAAAAAGTAAAGAGAAGAAAGAGGAGATAAAAATTTTAAAAAAGCACTTTCCTGACAACATAACTTAATTGAGGCTTTCAGAACTACATGAAACAATTTAAAAGATATGCTTTAACAAAAATACCTTTCTCTTAAAAAAAGACCCCAAGTTTCATCATTAAAATCTCAATAAAAAAGTGTGTGCATATGTGTGTGTATATATACACACTTACATACATGCCATATATATATGCATATATATGCATATATATATATATATATGGCATGTATATATAACAGCAGCTATATATATATATATATGGCGTGTATATAACTCCTCTATTAAACTTTGGTGAACATGAGTTTAATAAGTTTTATTAAGAACATGAACACCAGTCTTTCAGAATTTACTCTTCAGCCACTTTTTAAAGAAAAGTTTTGCTCACACATGATCAGGGTTATTTGTCTATAAAAACTAAACATTCAGAGTTCTCATAGGACTGTTAAAGCTACCACCCTATAGAGGGGCCTCATGCTGCATGACACTGCAATTAATTCCCGAGAGTGATGAGATCAGAACAAAGCCACTTTACAAATAATCATCTCCAGATCTTAACATTAATGGAAACTGTATTTCCTTTTCATCCCTACAAAGAGCTTTTATGATTAAAAACTCCTGAATTAAGTGAAAAACCCCAAATGCGCCTACCTCCCATACAGGGAGTATCACTCTACAGCATTCAGCAAGGACAAACCACACTGGCAAGCCCACATATACTTGTTTTCATACCTAAGCTTAAGTCCACAGTTATCTTACTGAACTCTTGCAGTTAAGCACACAACTTTGTATACAATAATGATCATATTCTCCAGCACCCCTCTTTTACCTGTAAGCTTCAAATCATGAACACCATGAGTATATGTACAGTTGAAGATACAGGAAAAAAAATATTTAGAAAGATGATATAATCAAACTGTTAACCAAGAAGGGGAAAAATATCACCTCTAACACAACTAAAATGCAATATTACTTACTTTACATTTATCGCCCACTGAGTATTGCATGCCAGCAGCAATAGAAAAATCTTGTTTTTGCTGATCTGTAAATACATCAGCAGAAATATTACAGTTATTAGTGTACTACATACACTAGAAGAGTTACTTAGTGATTTAACAAAAGGGCAAACCCCAATAGTTTACGTTCTAAATCTACACACTGACACATGGGGAATATCCATGCCTAAAATCCAAGCTACCACTTATACCGCACACTTCTGTAAGCGTGCTTAAAAAAGGTTCCACTTCAGATAACATTTTCTGCAAGCTAGTACTTCAGGTATTCTTTTACTTACCCCATTTGGATTGCAGCCAAACATCATATTCAACATTTCTGTAAACTGATGGGTTGAGTGATTTAAGAACTTTTTTAGACAAGACYGAGAAGGTAGAATTCCCATTGCTCTTAAGGTGCTGTGTGAAACAGAACAACATGCTGAGGTGGTCAGTTACATGGATTCATAAATAGAAAACTGTAAATATCTAAGTATTCAAGCTTTAAAGTGAAATACAGAGAAGCTGAAAGTATGTAAGAGCATAAAGAGCTTTAAAGAAATAATTCAGCCTGATTCCTTTAAACATATCAGAACAAAATTTAGAACTGGGCAAAAATAAAAAAGACACGACATCAAATTCTGTGAAAAGTAACATTTGTATTAAGTAGTTTAAGTACTGTATACTAGGAACACAAAATTATTTCACCAACACTAAACATTGAAAAAGTATAGCAGAATATAAGTTGTTTGGGAGAAAAATATAACATAAATACCTTGTTGCCAGAAAGTGACTTTAATCCACTCATATCACTAACCATTGTAGCTTTACTCCTGAAAAAATGACAAAAGATGTTAGGGTAGTATTGTATTACAAAGAATTTGAAACAGTGTAAGAAATACCTTGGAAGTGGATAAAAGTATTAAACCTACCCTTCTCTTCATATTTCTCTACATTAGGGTTCTTCATGAACCCCAGGTGAATTAGGGTGAAGGGTTCTTCATGAAACACTTATGTCTTTAGATGAAGCAACTAATTTTTGAACATTACTATACTACATAATTTTTTTAAAAAATCAAAATTTGTTTTTTGATGTAGGATGTTGAACTTATATGTACCTAATCAGTCATCAGTTGGCAAAAAAATCAAGAATTTTGCAACTAACTTTGGAAAAAAAAATCTTCCAGAAAGATATAGAAATTACAAATATTTTGCTGAAGTAGGTTGAGAGTTCTTGCATCACAAAGACATATCATTTAAATTCAGAACTTCAAATGTGATATTCTCAAGTGATCTTCTTTGCAAAGGGGCCACAGAAGTTAGAACAGCATTTTCTTAGGAAACACAATCTTGATAAAGGTAATGCTACTGGTTAAGAACCTCAGTGAAGCTCTAGGAACAGAAAGGAATGAAGGTTTCCACTCTGACATTTAGCTACAATAATTGTTTCCATAGGCAGGAATATTTTAACTGGAAAGGTTCCCTAGGATTTTTTCTTTTCCAAACATGAAAGGAAGTTAATCCCTTTCCTGAAACTTGGGTTTTCTTTCTGTCTGTGACAATTTTTATCAGCTTCCCTTCTACAGGCTTTCAGCATTAAAAAAGAAGCTCCTGAGGTCTTAAAAACCTTTCTGCCATATGCCACTCCTCTGCACAATAGCAAACACCTCATAGACCTCAGAAAGAGTTTTAAAGTTTTCCAGTGGAAAAAAAAAGGAATATGCTGCACTAACAGAGTAAGTTCCATAGCTTCAATGCCAGAGATTTAAGAACAGCATTAGACAACTGAAGAAAACTACTAATATGCAAATGTAAAAGCTCCATATGTATTCGTCCAATAGCTTTATCCAAGCACCCCCTCTTTGGTAGAGATTTCAACCCCCAAGGGAACAACACTAGTTGGATTAGACTCTGCAGCTCCATTAACCTACAAGAGCAAGTCATGGAGTCTCATGGAGTTACCGTGCTCAACCCGCATACTGCCCGTTCTCCCAGGGGATCAGACTCTTTTGAAGAGACGCAGGTCGCAATAGCAACACACACTGTCAACATTCCCTTATGTAAAGGGACCCAAAGTCAGAATGAAGTAAAAAACAGAGCAACAAGAACCAAGAACCCTATCCTTACACAGGATGAAGGTTATGTATTTTATTCCTTCACAGTTTTAACTTGTCATTATGTTTCTCCTCCTGATGCTTTTAAGTGTTTCAACCTGTTAGATTCTTCTATCCACCATAAAATTTAAAGGATATTATCTCTTTTCACGTGCAATATTCACGGGCAGCTTAACTTTTAAATCAGTTACCTGTAGTTGTCATCTTCTGAATCTGAAGCAGATACTTCACTGCTACCATTACTTTCCTCTGTCACATCAACAGCACTAAGCTCTGCTATGATTTGCTTTACATCTGTATCAAAAACCTTCTCATACAGCAGCTCATACAGAAGAGCTGGGGAAGAGAAAGAAAGGACAAAAGCAATTACAAAGTGAGATGTTACACCATCATTTTAGAGACATTTCAAATTAATTCAACTGGAAAGGCAAGTTTAAGTGTTAGTTGAAATAATGTATTCTACAAACAGGCTGTAATGAGGACACTGATCCAAACTATACAGATTAATATAAACAAAAATTTAATGAACCAATTTGATGAAGCACTCAGAGGCAAGTAAGTCTTTTCCTTTGTAAACACATTGTACTTCAAAACCATGACATGGTAGTGATTCAAGACTTGCAAGATCATACAATCATTAACAATTAATTTGGAAAATAAAGCTACTCTAAGATGGTAATAAACTTTCACATATAGTCTTTCCTCTCCAACTGAGACCCAATAGAAATCAAAATTTTTGGTGAAAATAAGCACTTTTTATCAACCAACACAATACTTACACTGGCAGAGAGCAGCTCTTTCTGAGTACTCTATCGGGTAAACAATATCATAGTGGTTTCCATTTGAGAAACATAGCAACACCTTAAAATAAACAAACAAGGTTTATAACACTCATCTTTAGTAGGAACAGTACTTTTTAAATGCCCTTTATTGGGCCAACGTGCTTTGCTAAATTTCAATATCTCAGCATCTCAATAAAGTACTATCAAAAAATTTAATGAGTATCCTTTAAGTCCTGTCAAAAGAATTTAATATAAAAGGTAACTACACAAGTCAGTATCACTAGTAACTAAAAAAAAAAGTTTACATTACTATAAAGGCACACTACACCCTACACGTTGAACATGTATTTTAAAAAAAGAACGGCCATATATATCAATAGAACAGTTATAGCACACACAAAAGAAACTAACAAAAGGAACTAATTAAATTCTCAGAGTGTTTCATTATATTGATTAATAAGTTCCACATTAAATTATTTGCTGTTAATTACAATAGTCTTAAAACTATGTTGAAAGACTGAATTAAGTATTTTACCTTATCTGAAAAGCCATTCTCAGTTACGTGTGAAGGAGAAGCATTTGGTTCCCGGTAGATTACAAAATCTCTCCTAAGAAAGAAAATACTTATTAGAATACACTTACTAGGAAAGAATATTGAAGAATACTACTGCATCTGTCTCTGGTCAGAGAAAAAAAAAAAGCTTATAAAGCACCTACATTTGTTCACATAAGTGTTTTGTAGCACGCTGCCATTTTTCTGTGTGAGGCTTCTAGGCAATATTCTCTTCTGTGATGCACCTCAGCCTTCCCACACACAAAGAGAGGCTCACAACACACCCCAACAGTTCTCAGCTCACAATATCACAGGAGAGACTCATCACAGATAAAGCTAACAAGGATTAAAATACAGCACTTGTTTCTGTTCAAGATGTTTATACTCCTCTCTCCTCATCCAGGCAATAATACTGCTTGCAGGGTTGCCATTTGTATTTTTACCCCCATATTTAGTATCCTTTTTGTTTTAAAATACCAAATTGATTTGTCTTTTTCCTTTTCAGTAGAGAAGCTCCAAATGTACTTGTGCAACAGTACAGCCATTATTAATCACTATATCACTACACCGCAACACTTTCAAATAGTTTTGGTATAACTCACTTCTAATTGTAATGTCAATTTTTTAAAATGATCCTATGCAGTTTTCCTTTAAAATTTACATCTTATGCCATTTGCCTTGATTTGGAGCTTGACTGCAGGGGGCAATAGCTGGCACCCAGCTGCGAAAGCACACCAAGGAACATGCCAGCAGCCTAACAGACTGCTTCTGACAGTCTAAGGATCCCCTGCATCTCCTAAAATTAGGCCTGACACAGCTCTCACATTTACATTGTGAAAAGAACTGCTCCTGCCTTTTAAAGTGGCAAATACACAGTTTTTTTTTTTTTTTTTTAAAAAGACATCCAGCATCCAGTTTCCATTCCTGTACAGATGATGGTGAGAAACAGGAAGAAAACAAACTGTAGTAAGAAAAATTACAATATGTAAACTAGCAGAACTACAAAACTTATGATTCTACCCATACAAATTTGTAGGTGAGACATGTAACATTATGGAAAATTATTCAGATTCCAAATTAGATGTCACTTTCAAAAGTTAACTTTATTTTTATCTAATACCTTGACAGCTCTGCGTATACATACTCCCCCTAATTTTAATACACACATATGTGCATATATTAAGTCTATAACTTTCTTGAGAAAGAAATTGTAATAATTTGTCATATCTTTTTTGGCTGAAACAAACTAACTCATACTAACAGAACTCAGTTAAAAAAATAAAAAAGTGTATTCTTACTTGTACATAAGAGAAAGGGCACTTATTTCTACTTGTCCAACCCATTCCTGTATTAAAAGAAAAAAAACTTAAATAAAATACACAACTACTGTTCTCTATCTGTAGATAGAAACAAGGAATCAATATCAAAAATTAATATAATGGCACTGAGTTTGCATTTCTGCCAAAATAATTAGATTGTATTAAAAGGCACTTTGAAATAACAATAATTGTTCCAGTAAAAGTGAAAAAAAAAAGTGAGCTAAGAACAGCTACAAAAGTGCAGAGACRTGATTAAGTATGACTTTGAAAAATGACATAATCTTTCATTAGTCAAGCAGAAGGCTAGTGTATCAAATGTGATTTTTGAGAAGTATTATATTTATTGAGTGCTTTTTAAAACGTTAATCTCTTCCTTCAAAGTGTCTCGTTCTGAGGTCTTTTAACACCTGGAACAAGAACCTTGTGGCTTAAGTCTTATGCCTAAAGCACAGACAACTAGCATATAAGTATTTGGCACAGACACATGAAGCACTCCAAAACAAAGTGGATAGACCATTTCCAAAAATGATCCTGTGGCAGATAAAGTTTTTTTCTTTGATGCAAGAAATTCACTGTAGAGTAAGTTCTACTGGAAAACAGCATGCCTTGCCAACTGGCATAGCATACAATCACAGAATCTGAATACCAGAACTTACAACTAAACATCTTTGAACAAAGAAAACATGACAGAAACAGAATAGGCTCTAACGGCAATTTTTCCCCCTTTCACCACTCACTTTAGAGGCTGACTTCATCTGATTGGTTATTCTAATTACTTTGTTCACCTAGAAAAAAGTCATGCTTCAATTTCTAGAATAGAAAAACCTGAAGTATGTACAAATCCTACCTTAAAACAAAGAAAAAAAACCCTAGATTTTGTAATGCTGTACTAGTATTGTTTTCCAGCTTATGATTTGTTAACTCCATAGTAAGTGCAACCACAGTCCATGACTATTATTTCTAAAAATCTGTACATCAATAACATTTTATTCATCACCTAGTCCTTCCTTCAAGCCTAGCTTAAAGGAAATACT